ATATTATTTATTAGCTATATATCTATCACCTTATCTCGGATGTTCCATCAAAAGTAGTAGTATTATAATATGTGAAAGCAGTTTTGGGTAAGCACAAATGTACAAGTAGGGAATAGAGATTAAAAAAATAATAATAACAATGTGTTGAAAATGTCGAATGAATTTATGCATATAATGTGTGAGCCAAATGAGAATAAATAAGAGTACAAAATCATTGTTATAATTAGAGTTCATGCGAGGTGATAAGAATATGTACAACATGATTTCATTCAATATTATCCATAAATATGAGTTGAATATCTAATGGATACTGGATGGAGAAGAATCATATAATTATCACGTGCACTAATATAATATAATATATATATAATCTAATTATTCATGTATATCATCAGAAATATCCAAGTATAGTTAAAGACAACCTATAGTATACTTTTTTCAATAACAAATAGAGAGACAATACTACATATATAAAGAGAACTTATATCATACTCCCAACGGTATAAAGTAGATATACCTTTCTTATAACAATAGATAGAAGAATTATCTAACTATCACGTCTGATAGTCTACTAATCCCAAAAGAAAATTACCCTTCATTATATTTGCCCTCTTACGGTTAACAAGGATCACGTTCGATTATATCATCAGCTCAATCAATCAAACGCAATCACAAGATATTAGATCATATTAGGAGGATAAATAAGGAGATTTGACCCAGTGACCAAAAGGTAGATAATTCTTATTGATCACAACTCATTGTGATTCCCGTCCTGTTCGACCTCCGAATCGCTATGGTCCCGAGAGACTCGACCAATCATGATGTTCGATTAAGTTAACACCATCGTTACAAGATGAGTCTGATTTGATGATATACCCTCGAAGGACTCGACCAAGCATATCATGTCCTCTGGTCACTAGTGATATATCTATATCGTAGGCAAGATAGCGAATTATGATATAGGTGAGCCTCGAGAGACTCAACCAACTCAACATACATCAAGAATCAGTCCCTACCTATAACGATGGAAGGCCACGTGGGTCAATCTAATTGCCTCACGTTTATCGACTTAATATTATCGAGAGATGAGATTTTGATTTCGTCTCCTAATGTAACATGTCACACACATACATATTTAATATATATCTACATCACATATAAATGTATATAAATATCTAGTAGGTGTATAAGTAATCACACATTACATGAACAATCACACTAGATGATCATGGACCATAGTCTAATGTGATCAGGCTCGAGCCAGTGGGCCTAATCACTAACATCAAGATCTATATATGTAGCGGTGCATCTCCATGCCCTGTAATCGTCCATCTCGTCCTCATCGGTTCCGTTGGCATCTCAACGTATCTTAATACATCGCGATCGCCCATCTTGTGGGTCCCGCTATCGCTTCTATGCTCCTACTGCACCTCCTCATGTAATTACAACTTAATCATAGGCATGTAAGCTCGACAATAAACGAGAAATAAAATAAAGGCTCGCAGGCCTCAATAATAATAATCACAAGTACACACATCACACGGTCCATGATCATCCGTCCACATATTACATGCATAAATCATCATCATATAGGTCCACTAGATAATAATATAAATAATAATCAATTAAATATTTTAATTAATTAATATTTTCTGAAATTGAGGATATGTAGAGAATTTTTTAAATTATAAGGGGTATTTTTATAATTAGGATAAAGAATAGAACTTGAAATTTCTGAAATTTCGAGAAGCAAAATTATCTTTTGCTCAGAAACCCTAAACCCTCTTCCCATTGCTTATTGCGGCCGTCGCCACCCTACCGGTGGTAGCCCTCTACGATAGGGAGCGGAGGCCCCGTCGCCTCCGCGGGAAATTTTGCCCCATTGGGCAGGCGCCCCTGTGGGCATCGCCACATTCGCGAGTGGTTTTGCCCCCAGGGTAGCGCTCGAAGGCAGTGCTGTCCCGTAGGGCGAGTGCCCCTACGGGGCCTACTACCCATATGGGCAGTTCTGCCTATGGGTGCAGCGCCCGCAGGCGCTGTTGCCTCAGCGGGCGAGCGCCCCTGCTTGCGGGCTATTGACCCTCGCATGCTACTAGCGCCAACGAGTTGTTAGCCCCCGTAGGCTGTCTGCCATCAACAATAAGTCTGATGCATGCAAATGGCAACGCTACTATGGGACGGAGCAAGATCACCAATAGTTGCTACTCTTTCTCGCTTTTGTGTCAACGATTTTGATGCTAAAAGATTCTCCAAAACACTATACATGTAGTTCAAAACTAATCTTTTGCACGAACAATCTAGCTTTGATACCACTATTGGGAAATCTTAGGGCGATATTACATGCGCCATGGAAGAATAGAAAAAATAAAATCCCCAAATTTTCAAATATGTGTTCGTCGTCATACGAAGATTGGTGCGTAAAAATTCTGAAACTTAAAATTGCGTATAAGATAGAATGTATTACCTAGGGAGATCATATATTCCTGAATCCCTGCAGATCTCTAGGAGAGGGTGAAGGAGGTAAGTGTCATCCTCTCTAGTGGTGATCCATACAGTAGAGCTGTGACGACGCTCTTCAAAACTCCAGGCCTGCTCTGAGGAGAAGAATAAGAGAGGCAAGCAAAAAAGGCTCTAGCTTATATACCAATGATTCCCTCATATTTATAGAGGTCTCCTATCAACTTAACCATAATGAATCTTGTCCTATTGGGTATTATATCTCCATTCAACTACTCAAACATCTTATATTAGTGGATCTCTATCCAATAATCTCTCATGAGCTCTTATTCGATCTCATCCATAGGATCCAATAATTTAGGGGCTTATTGGATATCCAATAAGATAGGGGCTCCGACGGATATCTCATATTCGAACCTCTACTCATCGCAATGCCTATCATATGTGTGTGACCCTCTAGGCCCAATATCGAGCTAGCTGTGAGTCATACCTGTCAGAACTACTTTTGGCTCAGTGAATTATTATCTACATAATTATTCACTCGACCCATCGACTACGGACGTACTAAGCCAATATGCCACAGTCCCCAGAAGATACAGGAGAATCCAATCCGTTGGACCCGTCTGTCCTTAGTTATCGTGTACCTATAATTCCTCATCCATC